TTCCTTCCTTCCTTCCTTCCTTCCTTCCTTCCTTCCTTCCTTCCTTCTTTCCTTCCTTCCTTCCTTCCTTGGGCAGCTGGAGAAGCAGTGGGAATATAGCCTGCTGGCACAGAGACTTCTACTCAAGTGTTGGTGGGATTCTTACCTGCTGTGCCCTTGCTTCCCCACCCCTCCTCCCGATGTAAACTGTGTTTATGTGGATAGAAGCAAGCAGGAGACATGGCTTTGTTTTTTTTTTTTTTTAGAGGAACCTGGCTCTAGCACCATTCGCTCCCCCATCTTCGACTTTGTAAGTCATGATGGAACCCTCCAGAGAAGATATGCAAGAGCCAGTCAGCACATGAAGAGAGGCTCAGGTCCAGGGCTTTGCCCACAGGGGTGGCCACATCAGAGTGATACAGAGTTGGTGGGGATGGGAAATGATGCAGCTGTGTGAAAAACAACTGGGTACTTAAAGGATTAGAACCGCATTGTTTGTTGGGTTTGCTTCTGGGTACGTAGCATCCTTCTGGGAGGATGCAAAAAAGGCAACACTTGCTCACCCATGTTCACAGCATTATTATCCATGTTAGCCAAGAGGTAGAAGTGACCTGGGTCTCTGTCAGTAAGTAAGTAGATCAGAAAAGTGTGTATAGTCTCTCTCTCTCTCTCTCTCTCTCTCTCTCTCTCTCTCTCACACACACACACACACACACACACACACACAGAGGAATGTCATTAAGCCTTAACAAGGAAAGAGATTCTGACAGGCGCTCTCATAAAGGAACTTCAAAGACATTATGCTGCATAGATCAGGCAAGCCATAGATGGATCAATATTTTGTGTCTCTTTTATGGAGTCCACAGAGCTGTCCTATTCATGGGAGACAGAAGCTAGAGTCTCGATAGTCAGTGGTTTGGGGGAATGAAGGCCAAGGCTTCACAGTGGGCTACAGAGTTCCTGTCTTACAGAGAGAAAAGGATTGTAGGCACAGATGGTGATAATAGCATTCCAACGATATGAAGATCTTTAATTTTGCTAAGCCAAAAATGGGGAAGGTGGCCAAGCTTGTGAGATATGCTTTACTCTAATTACTAAAGAGACTCCAGAAAAGGAACTGTAAAGGTCACTGTTGGGCCTTCATCACTTTGCCATTTATATCTGTGAGAAGTAAAGGCTTTGTGTCAGGTGGACTGTCGCCAGATGGCATTTCCCGTGCCAGCCCTCCCCCCTTAGAAGGCTACCTTGTCCTTCTGATGTTGACCTCTGGCCCCACCAACACATGCTTGAGAGAAAGTCAGACTCGTGGATGAGGTCAGCCTCTTAAACTTATGACTTTAGCCAAGGACTAGTCGCTGCGATTTTTGCTTTGGGCTTTTTTTTTTTTTTTTTAATTTTTTTTTATTGCTTGGCCAAATAGAGAACAATGAAGTGCTCTTGTCCTGCAAGGAGGCAGAGGGAGGAGGGAGGTGGGGCACAGCCCTACTGTTTTGTCTGCAGAGCCTGAGAGTTGTTTTCCTGGGAGTGGTGACAGGTGAGCCTGACTCATTTGAACATTCTCACCTGCTTCGGCTGTTGCCGTGCTATCGCTGCTGTTGCAACAAAGGCTCACATTGGCTGTAGACACTGAATAGACAGGTCTGCCTTCCTTTAGATCTCCAAACAGCCTTGATCTGTCAAGAAAGTTCATGGACATCTCGTTTATCATATTGAGAGTGTTTGGTTTGGTTTGCTAAATTGTTTTTATTTATGAGGTGGCGGTTTGTGTGCATGCCCTGGTGTGAAAGTAGGGTCAGCAAACAACTTGCAGGAGCCAGTTGGCTCCACCACACAGCATCCAGGGATCTAACTCGGGCTGTCAGGCCTGGCAGCAGGTACCTTTCCTTGCTGAGACATTAACAAGTCATTTTTGAACACCAGTACTTTATTTCTGGATGACCTGTTAAATCATTGAGTAATTTATTCATATATATTATGGATAATATATATGTAAAGATATAGATAGGTGTAATGCAGTCCAGACTCTATAGCCCAGTACCCCAGACTTGCCGTGTAGCCCACGATGACCTTGAATGTCTGGTTCTCCAACTCCCAGTTACTGGCAATATAGGCATATGCCTGGTTGGAAGCCATGCTGAGGACCACACCCAGGGCTTTGTAGGAGATACACAAACACTCCACCCACTGAGCTACATCCCCAGCTCTGCTGCTTTGCTCATCCTCATGGGGAGTTGAGTGTGAAACGCTTGATGGAGTTTTCACATTTTTGTTTGTTTGCTTGTTTTTCAGGATTACTTCATGGACTCACTCCCCGTGCCCCCCATGCTTGTTAAATCCCTGCATTGTCCCAAGACCATGTAAAACCCACTGAGCGTTGACCTCCCTCCCAGCAAAAGCCAGGCTGCAGGTAATCACAACTCAGACACAAGGCCTCTCATGAAGTGCACGAACTCCTGGGTAACAAAGAAGGGGTTCAACTGCTCCAGTGACCGGGTTTTTTAAGCGTTTGATAACCACCGCCAACCAGTTATCCATCCATTTGATTCCTGCTTTGTGGCTGTGTATACTGCCATGTGCAAGAATGAAGAATCTGAAAACCTTCGAAATATGCTTGCAACCTCACAGGAAGCACAAACGCTTTTGGCTCATCATAGTTCCGTCTGATCAACATAAAAGGGTGTGGGGAGGGTTGGAGCAAATTTTCATGTGCATTTTACTTACCTAAGCAACTCACTGGGCTAACTGGAACATTACAGGAAATTTAAAGAGACCAGCACCTTTTTCTGTCGCCCGCTTTCTAACCTGTAAGCCTTTGCATGTTTTTCCCTCAGTGAGTTCTAAAGTCAGTCTGCAAGTCTGAGACAGGGTCTGGAGATTAGTTTTATGAAAATGATTTTTTTTTCCCAAATAAAAGCTCTTATTTTCTTCCATGTCTCTTTAACCTGCGCTATACCTTCAGGAACTTCTAGTCTTTTCCTTAGGTGGTACTTGAAAACTCCCATGAAGCATGGCACCTGGGTTGTTTGGGAGTGGGGACCTTGAGAACTCTGGGCTCAGGAAGATTCATCCAGCTGTCGGTTGAATGTTGTTGTTTTTTTAAATGATGACATTACTGAACGTGTACAGACAGTTTTTCTGAAACGATTCAGTGGGAAAGTACAGAGTGAAGCAAATCCGTAGTGTTTCCATTGTCAAGTGCTGCAAGTGTAACCTAAAAGAGAATGTTCACAGGAAACGGTACACGTGGGTGACAGGCAAAGACTGCACGAAAGTCCTGAGTATTTGGGAGTCTTGGGATCTGGAGGGATCCCGAGGTCCACGCCCCAATATGATGTGTTTTGTTGCCCTCAATTGTAATTCTTATGTAATGAAAATGTAATTTCTCTGGTTGCACGTCTCTATGTCTAGATTTCTCTTCATTTTTACTTCCGGGGTCATTAGCCAACGTTGGTCTGAAGGAAGTCTTTACCTCCAGCTGATGCTTTTCAGCCTTTTTAACAGTGTGCCACTGATAATGCACTTCAAGTCCCTAGCTCACACGCATGCAATATTATCTGTGTGACCAGTGTAGTCTTGCACGACGGGGGGAACCAGTTCAGTAAACACCTCTTGTCCCTGCTCCTTTGAGTCTTGTCAGGCATGGAAAGAAATGTCCTGCACCCTCCGTCCCCCACTGCTGACTAGTAAGACAGACATTGCTGTTTATTATTGTATTACTTAGAAAACCCCGTCTTTCTGCAGTACAATTTAGATCATGGCTCATGCTCATCTGACTGTTCTCAATTTAGGTCAAGATGGGGAACTCTGAGAGTCAGTATACCTTCCAAGGGTCCAAGAATCGTAGCAATAATGCCGCTGGCGCTAAGCAAAAGCCTCGCTCTCTGAAAATACGCAGCATTCATGCAAAAGATGAGAGGTCCTTGAATGGATGGACTCATGGGAGCAGTGGAGCAGGCTACAAGTCCAGGTCCCTAGCCCGAAGCTGCCTTTCTCACCTTAAGAGTCACCAGCCTTATGCCACCAGACTCAGTGGCCCCACAAGCAAAGTCTCAAAGGGCACTGCCTACTCTAAGCACAGAGCGAGCGCCCCAGGAAACGACCTCCAGAGCCACAACGGTGCTTTCTTCCCGGAGAATGGCTTCCACTACGTGGGCCGCGAGTCAGGAGACGGCCATATCACCTCCAGGGACTGCTACGGGAGGAATGAGGGCATTGCCTCCGCCCCGTCAGGCGAGGACCGCAGGAGTCCCAGGGTGCTCATCAAGACGCTGGGGAAGCTAGATGGGTGTCTGAGAGTTGAGTTCCACAACGGTGGCAACCCCCACGAAGGCCCCTCAGAGGACCCCGGCGGACCCGTCCAGCTGCTGCGATACTCTCCCACGTCAGCGTCGGAAGCCTGCCCGGTGCCCGAGGCCAGGCGGGAATCGGGTGCGGGCTCCCTAGCCAGCCAGCGCCCTTCTCCCACTGACTCTCGCCTGCGCTCCAGCAAAGGCAGCTCCCTGAGCTCAGAGTCTTCGTGGTACGACTCCCCGTGGGGCAACGCTGGGGAGATGAGTGAGGTGGACGGCTCCTTCCTGGCTCCCAGCACCCCGGACGCCAGCCTCCCCACCAGCTTTCCACCCAGTGACACCAAAAAGCCTTTCAACCAAAGCTCTTCCCTCTCCTCCCTCCGGGAGCTGTACAGAGACGCCAAGCTGGGGTGCCGCTCTCCCTCTGGCACCTGCCTGTCTTCCAGTGAGTACATCGGCTCCCAAGCCGGCCTGAGCAACCGGGTCTCTTTTGCGTCGGACATGGATGTGCCCTCCAGGGTGGAGCACAGGGACCCCATGCACTACAGTTCCTTCACTCTGCCCTGTCGCAAGCCCAAAGCCTTAAATGAGGATGCTGCCAAGAAAGACACCCTCAAAGCCAGGATGCGGCGCATCAGCGACTGGACAGGAAGCCTCTCCCGGAAGAAGAGGAAACTACAGGTGAGGCACCTTGGGGTAAGTGAATGTGTATGGGGGAGGCTTCTAGAATTTTCCATCTGAATCCGGAACTCCTCAGAACCTCAGGTGAACCGGTAAAGGGAGGAGTTTAACGTAAGACTCATTACAACTCCTTTTCTGATGGAGTTTTTCATTCTCCAGATTCTTAGCCCCAGCTTCACTGTTTTCACGTCGTAGCCACTGATGTGGGCACCTGAAGGACAGACACAGTCCTGGAGGTTGGAAAGTCATGGGCCACTGTGATGAGATTCTGAGTAGGGCCTGTTCCGGCTGCTGCTGTCAAGAAAGATACATCCTTACACAGTTGGGAGAGTGAGCCCTAGTCTCTTTCTCTTCCTGAAAGGACATGGTACCTTCAGGACTCCAGCCTCTGGCTCGTCTCTAAACGTAACCCCACTCAGAGGCCCCTATTACTGTCTCCTTGTGGGTTAAGGTTTCAGCATAGACTCTGAAGTGGGAGCAGACAGCTCAGCACTGAGCCCACAGCACCCAGGTTCTGCCCTGATGGCCTTGGCACTTGTGTGCAAGTCCACAGGCCTGGTTCTGAAGCTGGGCCAACTGTTCTTGGAAGGCATAGAGCTGAGTGCAGGTCCAAGAGAACTGGCAGTCTGAGGCCTTTGCTAGACCTGTCATCAAGTAAAAAAAAAAAAAAAAAATAGGAAGGGAGACTGTTTAAATTCGGATGGGGAGGCCTTCACCACTTGATACTATTTTATATTTAAGTCAGTTCATGAAAAAAAAAGCCGCAGAGAATATGTGTGTGTGTGTGTGTGTGTGTGTGTGTGTGTTGCTAGTGATGGAAGCTTGCACATGCTGAGCAAAGGCTCTTACCACTGAGCTACATAGATCCCCAGCCCTTGGTCTTTCCACTTGGTAAGGACATACAGTTAAAGGGAATCTGATTAGGCAGTAAATCTATCGGGGGATGTTGTCTTATCCCTGCTAGATGCACATTCATGTGAATAAAAAACAAACTACCAAACTGTAAGCATTAGGAGCAAGTGACAGCCTGCAGTGTGCCAGTAGATCATTCCCTATTTATAAAGTTTACCATTGGTTACTTCCTTCTTGTGAATGTCCGATGTCACTACCTCTCTCCCCAAAGGAATGGAGAACAGGTGGCCACCACCCTGTCTCCAGGAACTTTTTCAAAACCCTCAGGGTAGTAATTTGCTTATCTTAAGTTATCGCCCCTTAAGCCAAATCACCAAACAGTGGAGTTGCTTTGGGATTTTCCGTGCTGGTTCCATTTCCCATGAGTCTCATGGTGCCTGAGTCTAATATGCTGTTCAGCCTTGCCACCCTTTTGGAGCCCAGAGCTGGCTGTGTCCAGCTGCTGTCATGTCTCCTCATGCACACTGTCACAAGTACAACTGTTTGTTGGGAGCATATTTCTTCATCCGTGTTTGTGGCCTGACTCAACATCCAATAATCCTGCTCACTGAACATACACAGGTTCTGTTTCACTGGTCCAAAGGAGACCCGTTAGCACAGGGTATGGCTCAGGCACTGGGTACTCAACCTTCACAGATAAGCTGAACCTTTCTGCAGTTCTCTGTCTTGTACAAACTTACTTCTGATATATTGCATGCCATGTGGACTTATAAGAAAAATAAATAGAATTAAAAAAAAAAAGAGTTTTAATGCTAGAAAGCACTCCTCCAAGTACTTAGAGACATCAAGGAGTTTGCAGTCTGCCTGGAGGTCAGGAGATCAGGAGAACAGGGTCAGGGTCAGGAAGTGGAGAAGCAGGTAGAGACCGCATTTATAAAACCTCAGCCAAATGCCAAGATCCTGTTGACTACTATTAATCATTATTGAATAGTATGATGAAAAATTTAGACTTTTGAAAAAAGTGACCCATTAGGACAGACTTTTGAAAGTATTGTCTGTGCATTCCTTACTAATTGATCATGTATAGATGTAAACAGGGTTGGCTTTTTTCTTCCTTCCTTCCTTCCTTCCTTCCTTCCTTCCTTCCTTCCTTCCTTTCTTCCTTTCTTCCTTCCTTTCCTCCCTCCCTCCCTCCCTCCCTTCCTCCCTCCCTCCCTCCCTCTCTTCTTTCTTTTTTTTGGTAAATATGTCCAGACATTTCTTTTCCTTCCACTGAAACAATTAGGATAAGCTCCATAACAATGCAACCCAGCTGTTTGTGCTGGCTCAGGACTGTCATCCCAGCCATTTGGGAAGCTGAGGCAAGATGATTGAGGCCTTCCTAGGATGTAGAGTGAGTTCAAAGCTAGCCTGGGGAACTTAGACCCTGTCTCAAAATAACAAGACGTAGTTATCAGGGCCTAGTTCAGTAAAACAGTGCATATGCCAACATTCCCGAAGCCCAAGCCTCCATCCATAGTACCACACAGAGAAAAAGGCAGTCCTGCTCAGGAGGAGTCTGTGATCACAAGCTATAGTGAGGCGTTGAGGCCAGAGCTACTTTCTTTCACCCACATAAACTTCTGTATGCCAGCACTCAGCAGAACGATGACTCAGAAAGCTTTGCTTGATGGACAGACATTTGTTTTGACTTTAAAAGATGACATAAGAGCAGCCTTTTCAATACAGACCTTTAAAAGCCTACCCCCACATACATGAGACTGTAAACCAGACAGCTGAAAAAGAATACCATACTAGGAGACAGAGAAACGTGTACTAGAGAGTGGTTGGTAAACACCTCATATTAATTTTAGCTGATGAAGACTTTCATCCTGCCTTGGCTAAAGCATTGTGTCCTTTCAGTCAGGATAGGATAGGCTTTGCTGATTTAACAATGTCCCCTGCCCCCATCTCCATGGCTTGGAATGAGCAAGTTTGTTTTCCTATTCATGATGTATGTTCATCACAGCAGGTAGCTGGGGTCTGTGGTCCCCTGTGGGACCCAAGGCTGACAGAACAGCTGTCGTGAAGAACATTCTGAGTGACTGTGGCAGAGAGAAAAGAAAATTGTGCTGACTTTGAAAGTTTTCTCTCAGAACTGACATGTTGAATTTCTGCTTACATTTACTGAGCATAGCAAAGGATAAGGCTAGGCCTGACTTCAAGGAGCGGTGGGAAAATGAACCTACCATGTACTGTGGGGAGGACCAGAAATATTTGGTGGCATCACTGAGGACTGCTGTGGTTCGTCACAGAGATTTTATGAGACATGGAGACTCTGTTTCTGGCCCCCTTTAATTGTGAATTCTCACTTCTCGTCTAAAAGGAGAGACCAGTGGTCTTTCTCCAGTAAGAGGTGTGTGAATGTGAGCAAAGGGGCTAACTCAGTGCTTTTCCTAACCCATGAAGGTGGAGATGGGGTTTTGTTTAAGGAGTTAGGCATCATCTTTTGCTTTATCCAGCTTTGTTGGGGTATAGTTGATAAGCAGAGATTGAATACATTTAGCGTGTAAAGCCTGATACCCTGACATGCAAATACAATGGGAATATTTACCATAATCAGCCCAACCAGGTAACACAATTCCCATTAAACATAGTTATCAGGTTGGCTTTATTTTATCGTGAGGCTGTTCACAATCTGCTGCCTTAGCATAGTTCATATGAACGAAAAAACGTCAGCTGGAGTCATAGTTCTCTACGCTGATCTCTAGCATGTACTTGGCTGCTGTAACCAAAGCTCCATGCACTTTCAGCATCATCTCCCATTTCTCCAGCCTCTGTGCAGCCTCTTTCTTACCCTTGGCCTCTGTGTGTGTCCAACTCTTTTTCTCATGTAAGTGAGATGGCTCATGCAGCATTTGCTTCTCTTCTGAGTGATGTTACCCTCCGCCCCCTCTACTTCTGGTTATTGGTGCCCTGGTAATCAGGTTTCAGTAGCCACCGTCTATGGTTATGATCAGGTAGGAACTCACAGGCACTGTGCACGCACGTGGTAAGCCCTGTGGTCTCACACTCCTGTGGCAGTTATTAGGAATTCTGTATTAACCTATTTAAAGACTTCAGGTTTTTTTTTTTCCATTTTTTTTCAAAAATGCCATTTGTCTCTCTCTCAAGGAGGAACAGTCTTGTTTTTTTATGGGGACATTTAGTCTTGCAAAATGAAGTGTCTCCTCTATGAGAATCATTGACACATAACTTGGACCCATCTCTCTGCCAGAGGTTTGTTGGTGTTGAAGCACCCTGCTAAGGCTCTTGCAAAGAAACAGATTCTCCCAGTGTTTGGGGGCAGTGAGTCAGACTCACAGTCATAGCTGCCGTAGCGTTAACACTGCATTCCTTCATGTCCCAGAGTTGATGAAAATCTCGACAAAGTGACAGTAAAGAGGAGACTCCTCAAGTATTTTGAATTTCCTGAGTGACTCATAGCAGCTGTTCGATTCGCTCTTTGAAGCAGAGGTGTCAGTGTATAAATAAGAATGACCGCAGAACACAGTGTGAACACGCTGGAAGATGCTATCATCGTTACTAAGAGCTGTCTGGGCTCTGTTTTTAGCACCTGGGCCTTGGAAAACACTCTCCAGTTGCCTGGCGACCATTTTTCTATGAAAGAGAAACAGAAAACGTGACTGAGAATATCTCCATAACGTGGGGTGTTCAAGATAGAGCCCTGACTCAACGGCCCCTGACCCAGTTTCCCTCACTTTAATATTGATGATGAGGAAATAATATTAGAAGCCTACCAACAGCTGGGCATAGTTGATTGTTCTTATAGTTGATTGTTTCTCTTGTAGCTATATTAATCTGAGCTGGCTTTTTGCACTGGGAGTGAATTTACTGCTATCTTATGTGGTAAATTCATTGATTGAGTTTTGAGGTGGAATCGCTCTCTGTAGCTCAGACTGTTCGTGGGACTCACTAGGTAGTCCTGAACTCATCCATTCCTCCGGCTTCAGCCTCTCAAAGTGCTGATCCGAGTTGCCCCCTGGTACAGGGCTCTTTGCATCACCATTGATGGATGTAGCCACACTGTGCTGAGCCTCCACAGAGGGATGTTGCTTTGGGTACCCTAGCCCCAGTGATGACTGGCTGGAAATTTGTGTTGTGTACAGGAGCCTCGGTCCAAGGACGGCAGTGAGTACTTCGACAGCCACTCAGATGGACTGAACACGGATATGCAGGTGCCCGCCCAGCCATCTGCCTTACTGTGGTCAGGGGGATCAGCTCAGACCCTGCCTCACAGAAGTGAGTCTACTCAAGCGATTGGCAGCGATCCCCTCCGACAGAACATTTACGAGAATTTCATGCGAGAGCTGGAGATGAGCAGGACCAACGTAGAGCACGCGGAAACCTCCACGGAGACTGTGGAGTCCAGCAGCGAGTCCCTCAGCTCACTGGAGCAGCTGGATGTGCTCTTTGAGAAGGAGCAGGGAGTGGTCCGCAAAGCCGGGTGGCTCTTCTTTAAGCCCCTCGTCACTTTGCAGAAGGAGAGGAAACTGGAGCTGGTGGCTCGGAGGAAGTGGAAACAGTACTGGGTGACGCTGAAAGGTGAGTGGGGCACAGTTCACCAAAGCCACGTCCTTCAGCCGTCCTTTCACCAGGAAGGGCTGTGGGGTCAGAAATGGTAAGTATGAAGGCTACTGTGTGTCTAGGCGTGTGTGTACATACACACAGAGGCCAGAGGACGGCCTTATTTTGAGACATAGTCTCTCTCTGGCTTAGAATTCTCCAATTTGGCTAGACCAAGTCACCAGCGGGACCCCGAACTCTACCTGTCTGTCCACCTTCCGAGCGCTGAGATTGTAAAGACTACTACTATGCCTTGGATTCTGGGGATCCAACGCAGGGCTTCGTGCTTACAGGGCGAGAACTTTGTGAGCTGAGCCACTTTCCCAGCCCTAACTTGAAAGACCGGGATCTGTCCCCTCACAGCATGCCCTACTGAAGAGACTTAACAAGTCTGTTTAGCGATTTACTTAACCGCTTATGTATGTTGGTCATTCTAATTAGTAATGATTTTCTAAATTAAATAGTTTTCTACATATATTATTCCGCCATTCTTTGAAGCTGTGGTTGTATCTAGAATAAAACAAAGCCCTACATAATTGCCACATATACTTCACTTATGTGTATTTTCCATTCTGGACATCCTCAGAACTCCAAAGCAGTGCCCTTCCTAGATGGACTGTTACCTAGGAGATTGAACTTGTCCAATCCCCTTTTTCGACTAAGTCTAATTGCCACCACCACTGTACAGATTTTTTGTTGTTGTTGTTGTTCTCTTGGGTTCATTTGATGGTGGGTGTTGGACCCTGGGGCCTTGGACATGCTAAGCATATTCTGAGAGACCATGCTACACTCTCAGCGTGAGCTCCCGCCCTCCTCCTCCCACTCCCTCCTTCCCTGTGTTCCTTTCTTAGAACAGAAATTTGTCTTGCTAAGGTAAGATCGCCTTGCACAAGCCTTGCTAATTGGCAGTCCTGATTGCCTCGCTCACTGTGGGGGTGCGGGTTGGAAGAACTCTGTCTTGTGAGGCAGAGAGAGGCCTCAGTGAGCACAGCCCTGATGTGTGCAGGTGTAGATGGGAGGAACAGCTTTGGCCTTGTCAGAGAGACTGAATGGGATGTTTCGGGAGTCATGATCAGGAGCCCCACCCCTGCTCCATCAGGGGAGAGAGCAGAAACCTGTTCACAGCAGGTGTCACCTGTCTGGTGTGCCTCCCTCCCAGAAGTCCTTCTTAGCTTTCCTCTGCCCTCTCTTTAGTAATTCCTGAGTCCCCCTTCCAACCTAAGTGGGTGGGCTTATGGCCCATAACCTCCTCTGTTAAGTCACTCCGGTGGACAGTGTGTACTGTGCATGAAAGCCCCAGGACCCAATAACTTCTCACTATGGCTTAGGGTCCATGTGGTTCATGACTGGCTAAGGAAAGCAGGCGTTTAGGCATGAGAGATAAGATTTGGAAAGTTGAACTAAAGGAACAGATCCAGTAAGAAGTTTGAAGAGATAAGAAAATAAAGCCTTAGCTGCCTCTGGATGGAAACATTTTGTAAGTGAAAAGGGTTTAAGGATTTGGTTTGCAGGCTATGGGGAATGTGTTTCCAGGGCAACAGGATGGATGTAAAAGTAAGCATGTCTTCAAAGAATAGATGTTATCGAATCTCTGTCATTAGTGGTCTCAGGATTCTTGCAGAGGAAGTCGCAGTCTGCTTCCTTTTCCTGGTGCCGTGTGACAGACTCCTCCTAGGGACATGTAACAGGTCTGCAGAATTAGGCATGAAATCCTTCCTGTGGACCATGAATCCAATCCAATCCAAAACCCTGGCTACCTCCCATAACCTTCATGTCTCTACCTCTGCCCTCTGAGGATTCACTGTGTTAAGGTCAACTTCCTTGCCTTCAAGTCTAATGTATTTAGGTTAATCTCATTTGAAAACAGAGATATGTATACACTTAAACATTTAAGTAGAATTTGGAAATTACTCTTGAAGTGATCATGTGGGCACATTGGAAATAGTTTTCTGTAGAGAGGGATCATGGCTGAAGCATCTCATGACCTGCTGTCACTGATACATATGTGTATATAAGTAGTAGCCCTATACTAGAAGACATACCCCTGTGCTTCTTTAAAACAATTGTTGGCTTAATAATTATGTCTAATTATAAAACTGAAGCAGATTCTTTGACCCGTCATTCTTGTCCAGCTTATTAAGGAGAATAAAATATTTAAAATCACAGGTACCAGCATTTTAAGAGTAATGCTTAGAGTTGTCATATTTGGTTTTCTAGCTTGTGGGATAAAACGTGAAGTTGTACATTTGAAGGGTAAGCTTGGTATTCGCTTATAAATGGCCAGGTTCACTTAGTTATATCCAGTTTCCTGGACCACACAACTGTAAGCATAGCTAATACATGTGGGATTTTTTTTTCAGCCTACCACACTTAAAAATACCTTCAAAATAATACAGTCATGTGCTCGAGAATGGGGGTGCTGAGGAAAAAGGGCCTGAGTTCATATCTGTGCTCCACTGTCTTCCGGCCTGGGGCATCCACACGTGACTGCATCCCGGGTTTCTTACTGGTAGACGGGAGTACGTCACTCTGACAGCCCTGTAGCACAGCTGTGTGGTGAACGTGCCTGGGGAGCTGGGTTGTACACCGTCTTGCTGTTGATCACTGATATCACACCGAGCACACCCTCTAGTCTTCATCTGCTCCCGAGAGCGTATCTAGGCATCCTGCACATCCCAGGCTTTCCTTGTTTGAACACTGGCCTCTTGCAGGTGTCTGGGGACATCTGGGGACTGTGACACTTACTTCTCATGCCCTTTCTACACTCTCTCTGGTCATGTGGCAGGGATGTTATTCTGCCTCTGTCTTTCCCAGGCTGTACTCTGCTGTTTTATGAGACCTACGGGAAGAATTGCACGGACCAGAGCAGTGCCCCGAGGTGTGCCCTCTTTGCAGAGGACAGCATCGTGCAGTCTGTCCCTGAGCACCCCAAGAAGGAGCATGTGTTCTGCCTGAGCAACTCCTGTGGGGATGTCTACCTTTTCCAGGTACTGCTGCTGCTGTGCAAACGGAGGGGTGAGGTAATGGCGTGTGGATGAGGAAGATGAGCCCAACAGGAATTAAAAGGAAAGGGTCTGCACGAGCTCAGTGAATTCTTCATTAGCCTTTAGGATTAGAGTGTGAGCAAGAGACTGTGGCTTCTCAGACCCACCAGTGCCAAGACCATGGTCGTTCCTATAGCAGACATTTGTCTGGTACTTGTGAAGCCCAAGGATGCTGCCCATCCCATCTGTGCCAGGACGAAAAGAAAATATAGAGATCTGTGCTCTGCATAGCCTATGATCTCAGAGAGGGGACTGTCTGGGAGTTCCCCAACTGAGACCTTTTAAAGAGAAGCTTCGGCCACTCAGGAATCCTAGTAAAATACAAAGAAAAAGCTTTTCAGGTACAGTAGACACACACACCCCCCCCCCCCGGAGGAGCGTTGTGAAAAGTGATATTAATATTCATGATGTCTGCAGTTAGGTTTCTAGCATTTGATAGAAATGCCCAGTGTCCTGCTGAGCCCTGCATACTGATGGGCTTTGGGTGCCATCGATGAGCACCTGTGTCTTCTTGGCGCACTTAGCCAATTTCTCAATACTTTGGACATTGAACAAGTAGGTTTGTAAGGGTATACAGAAGCTAGGCATGGGGTAACTCACACCCATAATCCTAGCACTTGGGAGGCTAAGGCAGGAGGATGACTGAGTTCAAGATGATCCTGGGCTGCACAGCGAGTTCCAGCATAGCCTGATCTATATAGAGAGACTCTATGTTGAAAAACCACCACCAACAACAACAACCGGAAGAGCATACAGGATTGCTTTTAGCATGAATGTAATATGTATCACCTGATCTTACCATGAGTAGATAGAGCCTTGTTTTCTGCCACTGTGGGCTATTTTTGCTCTGTTTTATTTAGTTTGTTGTTTTCTGATTGCCACACTAAGGTCTCTGCCTTTTATTTCTGCGATGAAATACCCTGACAAAGATTAACCAAAAAGAGGTTTATTTTAGTTCATGATTCTACATCACAGTCCATCATTGTGGGGACTCACAGTACTCTGGGGGAGGGGTTGAGAGAGCAAATCATGGCATACGCACAGTCCAGGGCAGAGAAGAAGCAAATGCACATACAGTTAGTGCACATACAGCCCACTTCCTCTTACTGCTCTTACTCCTCCCACTGCTCTTACACAGTCCTGGACCCAGAGCCAGGGAATAGGGCCCCCACTCTCAGCCTGGCCATTTCATATCAATTAAAGCGGTCAGGACAGTTCCCCATAGCTTCATCTCCACAGTGCCTCAAGGAGAGGCTCTTCCTGGAAGATCCTAGGAGGTGTCAAGCTGGCAGTCAGAACTAGGCAGCATAGGCTCTGCAGTCCCTTCCTGCTTAAATCTTGATGTTCTTTTCTCAGGGTCTCTGAACCTGAGCTGGGTGTTTACATTTGGGAAACTAAACTTTTTTGTTCGGTTTTGGAAGAGAGCCCTTGGTTTTGACACATCAGAGCTTAGTTTGCCATTTTGGAGAAAACTTTTGTGTTCAAGTAATCTCAAATAGTGCCCCTATCCTATGTTTAGGCCACTAGCCAGACGGATCTGGAAAACTGGGTTACTGCCATACACTCTGCGTGCGCATCCCTCTTTGCAAAGAAGCATGGGAAAGAGGACACTGTGAGGCTGCTCAAGAGCCAGACGAGAAGCCTGCTTCAGAAGATTGACATGGACAGCAAGATGAAGAAGATGGCAGAGCTACAGCTGTCTGTCGTGAGTGACCCCAAGAACAGGAAGGCCATCGAGAACCAGGTACCATTGACTGCGTAATGGGTGGGATGAGGTGACACCTGGCATAGTCTTCTCTTTGGAAGGACACTGGTCTTACTCATGAGTGCTCCGTCACATGACCTCGTTACCACCCAGGAAGCTCCACTCCCCAGTTCTGTCACCTTGGGGATCACGACTTTGACATGGAGATTTGGGGGAAACACCAGTTCAGCCTTACGGATCTTCACTCTAAGCTTGGGTGGTTTGTTTTACCCTCTTGTTGTGAGGGAGCTTTTAAATGTCCCCGCACACGTGGAAGGCTCGAGTTCCTTTCAGCAGTGTTCACAGGAGGGACTTCTAGGAGGTCACTGCATCACAAGAACTGTTGTATGCATGGATGGATTAAGTATTAAAAGTAGTAGTAAAAAAAAATCAGGAGATGAGGCCTAGCTAGGAGAAAATGATGAGTGAAGGCCTGCCCTGAAAAGGTGTATTTTGTCTCTGGCCTCTGCCTCTCTCTGCAATGCAGCCACCATGAGGTGAACCGCTTTGCTCTACTCTCTGCAGCCCACCTTGTCTGTCTGCCCCAGGGATCCAGACATAGCACAGCCAGGGACCAGGCACTGAAATCTCAGAAGCTGTGAGCCAGGATAATCTTTCCTGCTCTAAGCTGATTTTCTCAGGTGTTTTGTCATAGTGATGTAGACATGACTACCTTCTTTGTATTGAAGGTTGGAGGTGAATGTTGTTGTTTGTTTGTTTGTTTGTTTTTTTGGAGGGGGGTTGGTGTTTCCAGACAGGTTATCTCTTTGTAGCCTTTGCCTGCCCTGGACTTGCTTTGTAGACCAGGCTGGCCTTGAACTTGCAGAGATCCACCTGCCTCTGCCTCCCTGAGTGCTGGGATTATGGGCATGCAGCACTGCACCCAGCAAACGTGGTGTTTTTAAGTTGGGAGAAAGCGTGGTAAAAGTAGCAACTTTGGGAAGTGTTGTCTGAGGGAAAGACTGACCAGGGGAAGACAGTGGGCAGGAAATGGCGATGGTCTTGGGTGTTTAGCTACAAAGGTCTGATAGCAAGTGACATAAAAAAAATGTTTGTGACTTTGTTTTAAAAATGTCAGAATGCAGTTTTCTGTAATTCTATAGAATTTATGCTGCCGAATGGAACTATTCTTATGGAAGATGCTCTGCACAAACAGACTTCCTGCTGGCAGAGCTGAGGAGGAGAGCAGAGGGCGGAAGGACATGGGGTTTTGACCAGAGGACAGTTGCTCTGACCTGGAGCCCAGCTGCAGTCTCCCTTGTCCCGGTCGGGGCCTGCTTTCATCTGGGAAGAGCTCACCCAGCAGACAGACATAATTTAGGAGAACAGAATTCTCATGTTCCAGCACGGAGGAACAGTGTTTCCAAGAGAAAGTCCCAGGAGTTGTCTCAGGCAAGGGGGAGATAAAAAAGACCTCACAGCAAAGGGTGGAGCAGAAGTCATCTCTGTGCGTCCCCTGTGCTTTGTCATGCATTGCATTCTGATAACTATTATCTCTAGTCTCCATCTTAGACTGTGGTTTTTTTTACACTGATAAAGGAGGATTGCTCATGAATTCCAGACTAGCCTGAGCTACAGAGTGAGACCCAGCTCAAACAAACAAAAGCAAGAGAGGAATGTTTACCTTAGTAACTTCCTTAGTACACATGTGTCTAAGAAGAGTACCTAGATAGCATTTTAAAGCAAGCCAGGTTAATTAACTATTTCATTAATAACTAAATTTATAGTGTCACAGGGTGGTTAAACTATTTTAGGGCTCTTCTTAGGTTAATAAGAAGAGGTTAATAATTCGCTTAGCAATTTGTTTTGACTTTTCTCTTACTGTCCCTAGTTTCATGGAAGGCGTCTTGAGCACACACAGCTTTTGAATACTGGTTTGTCTTCCTGTTTGTTAATCCTTTTGGTCCAGAAGCTATCTCTCCTTAAGGCTTCAGCTCCCCTGACCCACCCAGTTCTCTGTGGGGTACAGGGGGTGACGCTCGTTGCAGGGGATGTGGAGCGTGGGAGTGTGAGGATAAGGGCTAGTGTGGCATGGTCCTTGCACCTCGGGGATCTGGTGCCACAGCCTGTGCGTTAGGGTTTGTGAAGTCCAGTGTCATCGAGTTGATAAGTCTCATATGATCTGCGTTGGGGAAAAGTATGGTGTTAGCTCTTCCTGCTTTCTTAAGCTGAGCTTCAGGATCAGGTGTCATTGCTCAGGAAGAGGGATGCCCAGGTTAGAGAATTATGGTTCTTACACCTACTCAGAAGTTTAGTTTTAGGGAGAGAAAGGGAACATTTGATAACACTGAGAGGTGTGTGTGTGTGTGTGTGTGTGTGTGTGTGTGTGTGTGTGTGTATTTCTGGGTCTCTTTGAGGCCAGAGAAGCCCAAACATGTGCTTTTTAAAATATTTAAATTTGGGCTAGAGAAAAGCCTCAGCAGTTAAGAGCACTGGCTGCTCTTCCATAGGACCAGGGTTTGATTCCCAGCACCCATTTGGCAGCTCACTGTGACTCCAGTTCCAGGGGATCTGATGCCCTCTTCTGGTAACAGGAGCTCTATCCACTGGTCTTACTTTTCCCAACTCAACTGTCAGCGAGAGGGCCCTTTGCTCTCCATTTGCTAGACCGAAAGCCCATGACAAGCATGTGTGCTCCAGGCATGGATTAGAGTCCAGAGCTCCTACTATGACTGCTCAGATTCCTGTGCCTGAGAACAGAGGGGGACCCAGGCACATATGCACAAAGGTAGAAATAGAGGCCGTTTATCAAGAGTGAGAACAAGACTCCCAAGAATGACAGTGGGCCAGAGACCACTCAGCTGGGAAAGGTGTGCCTTTACATGCTATTAATGCTGTGTCCACCTTCTGCCCCATTTGTGTATTGTACTCTCTTCAAACATGCTCTGTCCCTTACACATACTCTGGTGCAGGGGTTCTAGTCTTCTGTTAACTGGCTTGGCTCATGTGCTAAGCTTGATCCGTCTTTCTCCAGGTTTCTTTCCTTGGCTTGCAGTTACTTTTAAGTAATCCACAGGCTTGGACCAACGAAGTCACAGCTCCCCAGTGTCTTTCATGAGTTCTGCAACTCACCCATTTCAAAGTTCCCATTGTGAAGGAGCGCTCTGGCTCGTTGCTGTTTAGAAGTCACAGCTGGGCTGTGCACTTTGATTCGTGTAGTGTTTTCTTCCAGAAACTTCAGATCCAGCCATGGTGTGTCCTCATAATACCAGATCCTGTGGTGTAGGTGACGTCATGCAAGATAGATAGAGTCTCTGGAGCAGGATCTCTTTGAAGTTGTTGGGTGGAGAAAGTGGCTGTCAACGCCCTTTCCTAATAGAAAGACACTGTCACGGTGACAATGGCTGCGTTTCATGCTGCTGTGGAGGTCACATGCTTTGCTTAAAGTGAAACATGCTGCAGTCCTGTCCTCTGGCCTCTGGGCTATTTCATGGGGCAGATGATGTAACTTTCATTTGAGCGTGTCCAATGTGCAGCAGACCCCGCTGTGTGTCCGCATGGTGAGTGCCTTTGAAGTCCTGAGGGAGGAAGCATTGTAAATTAAGTCCAGTTAGTACTTTATTTTCCTTTCCGTTTATTATCTCAAACAAGTAAATGAGGACAAAAGCCTCACCACCCTTAGGCATTCTTGGCATCCTTCCAGATGGCTTCGCCCTCCCCCTGCCCTGTCCCCACAGCCTGCCTCATCATGTGCCCTTCTCAGGGTCCAGGGGTCCGCCCAGTGGAGAGTGGGCTGGAAAGGAAGTGCCCATATACTACTAGGCCTGCTATGATGTTTGGAGGAACCCCGTGACTGGGGCTGCAGCCATCTCTGGGGCCTTTGTGTACCCTGGGTGTCCTTTATTTTATTTCTTATACATTTACTTAAAGGTTTGAGATGATAAAGAAGGATGCGTCTTGTTTAGACATTTGGAAACCATGGTGAAGGGGCAGTATGGATGAAACCTTGAAGATGTGACAGGATATATGGGGGATGGGCACAATTGATGGAGGAGAATGGAGACAGGCGTAGTTGTGGAGGGGCTTGGGGGCAAGGCTGGTTGGTGATGGTGCAATGCACAAATGCGGGCTTCCTTGAGTGGTCAGTAGGGAGACAGTGGACGTATGTTGGACAGCAGAACAGTTCAGTGAGCTTTTATGCAGTACACGCTCTAGGCTAGGGATGTGTGCAGACTGGGAGATACTTCTGTCCTCAGAGCGTCCTCCATCGGGAAGGACAGAACTGGGCCTGTACTTCCGACACAAGATGATGAAGTCAGAGCTATCATTTTGTAGCACCAGAGAAGACAGTGAGATGAGATTCATCCTCCTATGTATTCTTGGTAGACTTCCAGAGGAGGGGCCATCTGAACTGCTTCTTGGAAATAAGGCTTTAATCAGAAGAGGGTCAGAGAAGGGTGCCATGGGCAGCGTGATGTATTTTCACACAACCAACCAACCAATCAACCAACCAACCAACCAACCAACCAACCAACCAACCAACCAACCAACCAACCAACCAACCAACCGTGTTCACATGTAACCAACACATCCAGTCATGAGGTTTCCCGGTTGCAGAACCCTTTGGCATTCCCATGCCATAGAAGATGACCCCCTCTCCACTCTTGCCTTCATCCGAAGCCCACTTAGCTGTTTTCTCTACTCCTAGTCTCTTCCTGGGACTTAAAAGCAGAGAGGACTCCGTGCATGGTGCACACATGTGCCTTCCTCTCTATCTGGTTTAGTCTTCTGAGACCTTCTCAAGGCACTGTCCTATCTGATTTTTGGGTCTCTCTACACAGTAGAGATTGCATCCATTTGAGGGATGAGGGAGAGACCCTTATGTGAGTGGGGTCTCTGACAGGACACAGCTGGCAAGCGGCAGAGCCGGGAATAATCCCAAGTCTCCTCTTGAGTACTGAGCTACCGCACCATGGGATTTAGGTGAAGTACATGATGTTTCATGAGTTGGATGATTTTGTATGAATGAATGATAAAGTATTGGTTCCCTGGCTCCCATAACTTGGGGTTTCCAGTTCGATTTGAAGAAAACTTTACCGGCTATAAAATGTGTGACTTACCCCAAGGAAACAAAACAAAGATGGCTTGCTGTTGTAACCTCTCGTCAACTTTGATAGACCCTTGTCACCGGTTGGGCTCTTTAGTGAACATAGGTTTTGTTGTTCACCAAGCACAGGGTGGGAGTTCTAAAAACCCATTCCATCCAAAAGGAAAAAGTAAATTATCTTTTAGGCCAAACCTAGAAATGGACAATTGGGCCAGATGTTACAGTTGAATGACTCAGTGAGAGAAAAACTTTCCTAAGAGGGTTGGGTGCGGCAGGAATGCTGCCATCTTTCTTTAAATTCATCACATGCTCATTTGCCTCAGCATTAGTTTTATCATTAGGCTTTGTCTTCTCCCCTTCCCACTCTGTTCCAGCCATCCAGAACATCTCTGGGCTCACTCACCAAACATAGCTTTGCTATCAAGACAGAGGAAACTTGTCATTGAATTTGTGTCAGTGTTCAGACCTGGGAGTTTCCTGTGGGCTTTCATTATTAAACATTTTCCTTTGTATGGGACTGGTGATATGGCTTAATGGATCTAGCCTAATGACCTGAGTTTTGATCTGTGGAAGGAGAAAACCAGCTCCCAAAAGTTGTCTCTGACCTCCATACATGCAATGTAGGACCCATGTGTGTGTACACACACACACACACACACACACACACACACACACTTCCTTTTATAATAAAGGGTAATAAAAGGCTTCATTAAACTGAACCCACCCATCTCTTGTGCCATCTGTGTCCTTTCTGTGTATTTATTGTTGTGTGTGTACCAAAAGGAGTATTCAGGTTGTAAAGTAAGCTTTTCACTTCCGTGTCCAGATAACTTATTTAAGAACTTTGTTCACTGGACTGGGGAAGATACTCTGTAGCTGAAGATGACCTTGAATACCTGACCTCACCTATACCTTCTAAAAGCCGGGCTCCCGGCATGTGATCCAGCCTGGGGCTTTGTGTATGTTGGTTAGCAAGCGCTCTGCCGACTGAGCTTCATCCCCAGAACTCACAAAGTGTCTGTGTCATGCAGAAAGTTGCATGTTGAACTTGTAAGAGATGCATGAAGAGAACTTAAAGCAGAGTTGTTTATCTAGAATGAATGACAAACATGGGGGGTTTTGTCTGGTTCTTGATGAATGAGAAATAAAACAGCCAACAGGAGATGACACTGGCATTGAGGAAATCAGTCACCCTTGACAGACTCCAATGCCCCGTGGTCACTCTAGGCAGTGTGGAGGTGGCCACCAGGGTCTGTGGAATGGCAGCTTTCTGCCCTACTCTGAGCCTTGATTGGCAAATCCCCTATGGCTCTCTGTACCTGCTGGTCTGCAAACAAATGGTTGTGATATATTGGGAAGACAGGGGAGAGAGGGCCCTAAAAAAATGCCATTTGATGGTGTTTTTTGTCAACTCCTGACTCCTCGTTTTGAAGAAATACACAGCAACTTGTGTTACATAAATATTTGTAGTCACTTTATGTTTTTCAGATATTCAGGTGGTGGTTAGTCCTCCAGACACTGAATAACAGTGAGCGCTGAACGCCTGTCCTGTCTCTGAAGTGAGCTTGCTTGTCATCATTGTGGAGAACCTTAGATTAAACATGAGCACCAGGCCACTGTCATCACGCGTGCTGTGTTTGTGTGCAGCTTGTCCAGTAGACAAGTGGTTCCCAATCTTCCTAATGGTGTGACCCTTTAACACAGTTCCTCATGTGTGCTGCCTCCGACCATAAAATTATTTCATTGCGACTTCATAGCTGTAATTTGCTGCTGTTATGAATGATGTAAATATCTGATGTGCAGGATATCTGACAGGTGACCCACAAAGGGGTCGTGACCCACAGGTTGAGCATCACTGCAGTAGAGGCTCTGAGAGTGCAAACGGGAAGGAAAATGGAAAGGGAGACGCGTGTTTTCACTTTACACCCTGTGTTGAGTCAGCATTTAGTGCTGTTCTGTAAGCATCAAGCACTTTGGCTTGGGACCCCCAGCTGCCTTTGATCTTGGCTGTCCTGATGAAGTATGCGTGTGTGTGTGTGTGTGTGTGTGTGTGTGTGTGTGTGTGTCCCGCTGTGTTTCTGTAGGATGGTGTGAAGTGTGGGGAACAGGCGGCAGATTAAAACCACGCGACTACAGCTGCGAGTGATTTTTTCTTGAACAGCTGTGGAAGGGACTGCACTAGCAGATGGAGCAATGCGGACTTGTAACTGAGGTCAAAGTCGTTTCTCTTCTTGCTGTTTAAGATCCAGCAGTGGGAGCAGAATCTGGAAAAATTCCACATGGACCTGTTCCGCATGCGTTGCTACTTGGCGAGCTTACAAGGTGGGGAGTTACCGAACCCCAAGAGTCTCCTTGCTGCCACCAGCCGCCCATCCAAGCTGGCTCTTGGCAGGCTGGGTGTCCTGTCTGTCTCATCTTTCCACGCTCTGGTAAGTTACTGGCGAGGGCTGGCCCAGCGGCTTGCACCTTTCCCCAGCTGGTTGCTAACACCTGTGCCGGACGTTAGCTTAGTGACTGACAAGGGTTGCCAGAGCCCAAGTTCTGGGGACCAGCAGAGGAGACTGAAGTTTCCAGTTTCTCAGATGCTTGTTTTAGGAGTCCAGCTGCTAGCTGGAGGTTACTCCATATTCTTATCTGCCTGGCTGTCTCTCCTCGTACTCTTGGGAAGGTGGGGTTCCTGAGGAGTAGTCCTACTGGGTAAAGAAGAAAAAGAGATTAAATGTTGCTAAACCAGGGGCTGGGGTGGTAGCTCAGTGAGCAAAGTGGTTTCCTTATTAGCATGAAAACCTGAGTTTCATCTCTAGAACCTGTACTTGGGGAACTTCAGGCCAATAAGAACCTAGTTCCAAAAACAGGAAAAAAGAAAAAGAAGATGGAGGGTGAGGGGTATGGCTCAATACTTGAAGCACACACACACACACACACACACTCCCACACATATACAAACATATAAATACATAGGCACATACACCATATACACATGAAAAGGAGAAAAAATTAAAAGAACAAACAAGATGGATGTACCTGAGGAGTGACACTCAAAGTTGACCTCTGGCGCCCGTGTGCACCTAGACACATGAGCACACATGCAAACACAGCGCATAAATGATGGGGGTGTGGCCTGTAGTGCTGGGAGCCTGGGTAGAGTCTGAAATTGCTTCTGGCTTTTGCAATGAACTGGCTCATCTCGAGGGGTGCAGAGTGGCTTTGCTGACAGGGCTTCCACATCTGAATGTGGGAACTTGGCTTGTGCTACCTAGATAAGGCATCTGTGTGGAGGCGGGCTCCTGTGTGTGAACTGTGCAGCAGACTCAGACGCCATCAGACACACTTAGAGCAAGGCTGACGTCTCTCCAGCACCGACACTTAAGGCTTTAAGATGGTTTTCAACTGTGATTTCCATTAGGTGTGTTCTCGAGATGACTCTGCTCTCAGGAAGAGAACACTCTCCCTTACCCAGAGAGGAAAACACAAGAAAGGCATATTTTCTTCATTGAAAGGGCTGGACACTCTGGCAAGAAAAGGGAAGGAGAAGAGAGCCTCCATAACTCAGGTGAGTTCACAACGTGGGAGGAACTAGAGGTGACATTCTTGACACCTCCATTTCCAGACTGCCACAAGCCATAAATGCTTTTTCTTCTGGTAAAGGTTAAGTCAAAGTTGATTCAAAGGAATCTAAGTTTGTCAGGGACTTCTCCCCATGTGAAATATACATACTGCTTCATTTGCTTTAGCATACCTCCAAAGGCAGGCCCATCTGTGCAGTTTTTTAGGAACACAAGGAATGAGAATTACCAGAAAACTGGTTTGGGGACGTGGCCCAATTGCTGGAGTGCTCGCTTGGGTGCCTAAGGCACCATGTTTGATTCTGAACAGCCAGGAACAGTTGTGCACAAGTGTAATTCCAGCACTTGGTAAGTTAAGGCAGGAGTATCATGCTCAGTGAGTTTGAGATCAGCTTGGGCTAGAAACCCTGTCTCTAAAAAGTCAAAAACAAAACAAAAAGAGAGAGAAGAAAAAAAAAAAAAGCAGAAAATGAGGCTTGAGTGTGCTTCAGTAGTAGAGTTCACCTAACATGCACAGGTCCCTGCTAGAAAAAGAGAAGTGTGTGTGGTGGGGGGCGGGTTTAAGAATAATTATTAGAAAAAACAACCAACACTTTTTGTTGCCTCATAGCAATTTATGAAAACGAATGTAGAAAAGTGATGCCAATCCAAGGAACTGCAGCTAGTTTCTATTGATGATTGTCCTAGATCCTATTGAGAGCGCCAGAGTCTATTGCTAGTCCTAAATGGTATTGATTGATTGTTCTAGATTCTATTGTTAGTCCTAGATCTTATTGATAGTGTTAGATTCTATGCTAATGCTAGATTCTTTGCTTCCTCAAATCTTTCACCTTGACAGTTGTATTTGGTCAGCCCACACTACAGAGGGAAAACCCAGTGCTCTGAAAGGCTAAGTCATTTACCTGTTCACGAGTCTGTTCACCAGTGCCATAGGGCAGGGCTGGGACTCAGACATATCAGTAGTGTCCAAAGCTCTAACAGAATAGACAGTTGCTGCTACATGTTTTCTGCTCTTAGCATTGTATCAAGGGAAAACCAAACCAAACCAAAAAAAGAAACAACCCCAACATTATGGCCCTAGGTTCCATGAACTGCTTTGAGAGCATGTTGAATGTCCAGGTCCGAGGTGTCTCTCAGCACCCATAATGCAGCATGTGCTAACCGATAGCTTTCTTCCAGGTTGATAGGTTGTAGAATTTTCTTTTTCAAGAACTGTTGAAAGGAAAAGCTAAAAGATGTATTATTATGAAAGTGAGAGAAAGATATTTGTAGTGGCTGTTGTTGTGAAAGTGATTTTAGTTATTTTAAAGAGATGGTCATAGTTTATAGAAATTTATTTCCTAATTTCTGCCTCTTTAGCTGTGAACAACACTTATGGACTTGAGTAACTGAAAACTTTAAAGCTTCAATGTTTTACAATCCTGAACTAGTGAAGCATGGGGTTAATAGGGATTGCATCAATTGGTAGAAAGCTAGCAAAGCACATGCAAGTTCTTGTATGTGACTAGGGGTTTCTTAAGTCCTCATGCACAGTAAGAATACCCCCTCATGAAAGGTCCAGAGAGATGGCCCAGTGGCTAACTTGCCATCAAGCTTGATGCTGTGAGTTTGGTGGCCCAGTTCCCATATGGTAGGAGAGAACTGACTCCTAGACTATCTTCTAACTTCTCCATATTTACTGTGGCACCAGACCTCCCCATACAAATAAATGTAAAACAAACTAAAGACTCACAGTTCTGCTTGCCTTTTTTATTTTGTTGCAAGAAGTAATCGTTTGTTGGATATAGGAGTGGTTAATTACAATCTATTGGCTAATATCGGGCCTGTGTTTTCTGACCAGAACCTCCAAATTTTGTTCTGCATATAATGTCAGGGTCAATTTTTATATTAATCAAGATAACCTCATGCAATTAAAATGATAATATGATAGATAACTGGATAAGTTGCTTATTTTTAGAGGCACCATTTAGCTAATTAAATGAATCTTACTATGTGCCTCAGCATATCTGATAACTATTCTCAACAAAAGATTTCTTGATAAATAAAATCATTTGGTTGAACATTTTTGTTTTAAAGAAGATATGCAATCAGTACTTACAAAGCTGAATAAGGTTGATTTATTAAGTATTCCTAGTTGAATATTTAATGTTAGTATACTACAAAACTTAGAAGAGAAAATTTACAAAAATATAAAATGATTTCTAGTCTTTTTGGCTTTAAACAAATCTCTATTAACATATTGTCTTCCAACATTTATTTTAAGCACATTAAAACACAGTGATAAGATTGATTTCATGGCTTTGCCAACTCCATTCCACATCTTCTGAAATGCATAATTAGTTAAAAAAAAAAAAGCAATGTCAAGAAAATTCACGATGACTTGAATGCTGTGAGATATCACAGAAAAGTAAATATGAAACTGTGGGAGGAAAGAATGTAGATTTTCCTGAAGAGGGGAAGCTTCATATTTGAATATTAGTTCAGTACAGACTGTAAAATGAAGATGTCATCAGATGTTATACAACTTCAGTCTTTAAAGTGAAAATGTGTGGTTGCCAAGTGAGCATTTCAGAATCATTTCAGTAGTCTTTTTTCTTCTTCCTGTCTTTCAGATGTTTGATTCGAGTGGCAGCCATGGACTTCTTGGAACTCAGCTACCTCAAAACTCCACTAAATCCCATGAGGTAAACATAACCAAACAGGGCAGCCATCTTGGCAGCCATCTTATTTTATGTTGACTAAGTGGTGAATGCTAGTTTAGACTCTTCACATGGATCTGTTAAAAGACCAGTTTAGGATTAAAATGATAAGAGGTGTCTCTGGAATGCTAAGTATTTTTGGAGGCTTTTAAACTTATGACATCACCACCTCAAGTAGCTGGGCCAGAGCTGCATTTTTGGTGTATACTTACTTAAATGTTCCTCAGCCATACAAGGCCCTCCTTTCAATATTGTTGTATTCCAAGTTACACTTTCTTTTATGACCTTCAAGGCCTTCAAACAGATAGTAAATGCTTCTCTAGGCATCTTCAGTGGAGATGAGCACTGCCCTTCTCTGGTTTCCAGAGCTGCTTCTGTTTCTGAGATCAGGAATGCTTGGATAGGCTTATAGTTAGACTTTGTGCTTTTTTCCAAACTCATGTTCTTCTTGCAAAGCTGTGTTTTGCAAATCTCACCAAGTTTCCCTCAGTCAGAATGGCTTATCTTTAATTTTATTTTTAACAAACATCTTATCTACTCATCAAAGACAAAAGGTTGATAATGGGGCTGGAGAAATGGCTCAGAGGTTAAGAATATTTATTGTTCTTCAAGAGGATCCAAGTTCATTTCCTAGCACCCATGTGGTGGCTAGCAACCACCTGTGACTCCAGTCCCAGGGGGATTTGACATTCTCTTCTGGCTTCTGTGGACGCTAGGCGCATGTGTGGTACGCAGACACACGTCAGCAAAACACCCACGTACATAAAATAATAAAAGAAATTTTCAAACACTGATAGTGAGGCTAGAGAGATAGTTTAGCATTTAAAAAAGTTTGCTGCTCCTGTAATGGACTTGAATTTGGTTCCAGCACTCACATGACAGCTCACAACTGCCTGTAACTTCAGTTCCAGGAACCTTGAAACTCTCTCCTGACCTCCATGGACACCTACATATACACGGCATACACACATACACTCTCTCTCACACAAACATAAATAAAAAACAATTAAAATTTAAATTAAAAAGCCTTGATAATGATCAACATGGACAAACCAATTGTGTCTTTGCCAAAACTATCTGACATGTTAATGGAAATAATTCGATGAAATAGAATTTTAGTTTGAAAAAAATCTGAGTTATATGAATGTTAGACACTTGCTTTGGGAGGGAGGGAAGTACTCTGGTGATAATCAAATACTCAGTACAGATAGCTATGTGCTCTCTCTCCTTGCGAAACTGGGTAAAGCCTTTTAGTATGCCATTGTTGTCGCTAAAACTGCTCCTGGGTGGCAGCTCAGCCTCAGGTGCCGTGTTTCCTGTAGGATGTGTGTGAATAAGTTGGAGAATCCTCTGCCCAGAACCATGTTTCTTCTCACCTGCAACCTCCCAGGACTATGGCTGCCAGGAGCAAGCTGTGGGGTGGGGTGGCTTGGACCAGGAATCTGCTTGGACCATCTGCTTTTGCTAATGTTCACAAACTATGAGTAGACAAGGAAACCACAGTCAAACCTTCTTTTCTATATAGGATGCTATCCAAGTGACAACTGTTTCATAATGAACGCTGTCCATGCCCTGCCCTGTGGTCTCTGTATACTCGCAGAGTTGATTCAAAATCACTGTCAGATCATAACTGTCAGAGAACTTGACTAAATCCTCTGGTTGTTACATTACCAAGATTTGCTAGGTTATTACTGTGTCCTGCCTTGTCCGTGTGTGTGTGTGTGTGTGTGTGTGTGTGTGTGTGTGAGAGAGAGAGAGAGAGAGAGACAGAGACAGAGACAGAGACAGAGACAGAGACCAGACAGAGAGAAAAACACAGAGAGACAGAGAATTGTATCTTGAAGTTTTCATAAGCTCTTGGTCTGTGTGGTGTTTCTGTGTATTCTAAGCTCATAGCTCATGCCAACATTCTGATACTCACTTAATGTTTGTTAGTTAATCATTTGTATTAGCTGTAGTCCTTTAATGGCTGAGAACTGTTAGATCTACAATAAAAACCCACTGCTTTAAGATTATATCTCTTTAAACATTACATAACAATAGAAAGTTCTTTTTTTAAAAGTTTAAGGAGTGAGGTCATCAAAGCATTATCAAGATGCATTGCAGACTTTGAGAGGAAACTTTGCTGAAGTAGTCATCGATGGCAAAGGTCAGTGCTTATTTAAACCAGGCTCAGGTTTACAAGTATTCCAGCTGACTCCCCAAGTCCCACCAAAGCTATCAAAGGCATCTCCCTGAGCCATCTCTCCAGCCCTATGCTCCATCTAAGGATGAAACACAGGAGACTGTCCATCTCTGTGTTAACAGTACATCTTTCTGTCCCATGTCACAGAACACAGGTAGCTAGGTTCAAAGTGAACTGCATCTTGACCTCAGAGAGGAATTTTTTTTTAAATACCTCTTTGTCTTAAAACTCTGCCTGTAGCTGGTTGAATAATTACAATTATTATTCACTAGTTGTCTCGTGCTAATCATGGAGAATATGTGTAGCACACAAACCATCTGTCTTTATACAGTAAGTATATTATGTACATCACACAGAAAGGGCCGTTGTGAGGGAGGAGCCGCCCTCCTTTTCAAATAGCCCACCATAATTGGTACATCCTGTAAGGGTCTAGCAGTGAGTCACTCTAATTGGAAGTCTGTTAGCGCTGGAGGAAAGCCAGCCCTCTTGGAGCATTTTTTTAAAGGACACCTTGGCTAGCCCCAAATGAGAGCTTTTCAGAGACTCCTTGATGAGTAATAATGAGTCTCAGACAGCATTTGGCAGGAAGGTGTTTGTTATGGAGATGTGTCAACAGATCTCCCACTGCGTTAGGGTGGCAGCTGCCCCAGAAGGCCGCAGCAGCCATGGCAGCCCCTGGCCCTGGCCTCTGCTCCTGGAAAACTGTTGGAGTGTCCTGACTTCCTGTGGCAGTAAATGAATGAAGAATTGTCACTTTAGATATTAGCCACGGGGGCCCACGGGGGGTGGGGGAGGGCACCCTGATGTTGGTTTCTCAAGTGGAAAATGTGAATGAACTAACCAAATGTTGACCACAGCACAGTCTGTTTAAATAGAATGTTAGACTGGAACCTTTTGAAGCACATGAGTATGTGTGGCTATAGAACATATCTGTGTTTGTCTCTTTCAAGACACATGGCTGGCCAGTTGGCTCTTTGTCTTCCCTTTCTAAGCAATGATATCTGGGCATCTGCCCAAGAAGGAAGTAAACACTACAACCTACATGATACCGAGTTGTCAAGAAAAGCCACAGCAGATCATTTCTTTTGTGCTGTCCCCTCATCTCACTTGCTAATAGACTTTCCTTTTATCAGTGACTGGGGTGGTGTGGGCTTCCTTATGACAGACAGACACTGTGATTTTGCTACTCATGTCCCTTCAGTGATTCAGGCAGTAATTATAAGCCGTTCGACCCAAAAGCATCTGCTGCGAAAACGCACAGGGTTACCATTCTCTCTGTGTGACATACTAAGAGTAAGTAATTTGACATGTGGTTTCAGGACCATTAGTGTAATAATAATAATAATAATAATAATAATAATAATAATAATGCACATGGAGAAGTTGCCCTACCAGGAGAGCTAGCTTGATTTGCAATTGCTAAGGTAGCATGTTGTGGCAGGGGCTAAAGTTCACTGGTGCTCCCTGCTCCTAGATGGCCAGCAGAAGCTGGGCTGTGACGGAACAGTGCTGTGCCTCATCCCGGGTTCCTCAAGGCTTTGGAACGTTGAATAGTTCTGATGACAGTGGCTGTCACTGACCTGTGGGAACTATGCAGGGGCAGTGCGCAGATGCTGTCCAAGCTGACTGCAGAAAGGGTTCAGTACGTCTCTCAAATGCCATTCCTCCTGGGGTGACTTCGCAAAGCTGGTTTTGGGAGTGGTCACCTTCAGTCTGTGTAAGGCTAGCGAGACAGAGGTTTGACCCTGACCCTTGTCTTGTCACTGTGTTCTCCAGAAACTGAGAACTTTGGACAGCACTTTGGAAATGTGGCTGGAAGAGGCAGGTTAGAGTAGGCCAGAGCAAGTAGGCTGCGCAGCACTGTTGGAGCTGACGGACTGTGGACCTCCGGATGAGTGCTTTAGGAAGCACCTCCGAGAATGCACCCCGGCGTGCGGGGGGGAATTTCCCAGATGCCCCGTGTGCACGTGCGTGTGTGTTAAGTTTTAGGGTTTTCTGTTTCTTTTATGAAAAAGACATAGGAGGGTATTTTTTTTTTTCTAAGCTTGAGACTGAAGTGTCTGTGTTTTCAGCTTGGATGCCACTGGCCTTTCCTAAGGAAATAAATCAATGTTGCTTTCTCTCTAAAAGGGCAAAGCTTAAAATAACTTAGAAGATCTGTATTTACCAAGCATGCTGTTTGTTTTGTTTTTTTTTCCTGGTTCTAACCAATTCATTCTGTACTCTTTAAATCACTGATGGCATTGGATTTGATAGGCATCTTCTGTGAACACTATAGATGGAGGGAATGACTCCTCCGTGCAGGTTCAAGGTCAAAGCCACAATTAATTGAACCTAATGGGATTGTTTCTATTGTCCTTTCTTCCACCCCTCCATTTACTTTTATACAATTCTTTTGCTTAAGATTTGCCTTCTTTAAGCAATCTGGTAGTTAGTCTTCCTTAGAGTTGGGATTGTTAAGAAGCTGACACTGGAAAAACAAATTTGAATCAGATGCAAGTGGAGAGCCTTGACCTTGACTACTTTTCACATTGATTGCATGTGACTCTTTGGAGGCAGCCATCTCCTCAGCACCCAGGTGTATTCTGGGTGTGAGACATTGTGGTAAGGGCTGGAGGACACTGTGGATGGCGAAACAAAGACGGAACTGTCATTCATCTTGCCACTTAAAGTGGGTGGGTCCAAAGCTAACTCGTGTGTGAGCTGGATTTTGCGATGTCAAGTACTTAAAGTGGTAGGTTTCTCTAACCAGTGATTCCAATATTAGAACCAGGGGGCACAGAGAAACAGAGGAAGGCAGTTGAAGTGAGCACAAGTGTGGAGGCAGGGGAGTGCCTTGTTCTTTATGGGGAAGGCCTCTTGAGACAGTTTGTTCAATCAAGACACAGTTTAAATAATAGAATAATTGAATAGTAGAATAAGTCATGTCCGTTGTGGAAAGAAGCTAATTAGCAGGCTGCCATTTCCATGTTGTGGGGTAGTGGGGAGACCCGACTCATATCCAGACTTCAGGGGCCAGAGCGGGTCATGGCGGTACCTCACATGACAGTTGTGAGTGAACTGGCAGTAGGGTAGGAATTTCTGTGAAGCAATCTCCCTGCCATGGTATGGCATAAATTTTAATTTCGAGAGCCCCTGCCCACCTGTCTATCCAATGTGAAGTTGCTGTGACTTGGTTTCTGTTTGCTCCTTCCTGTGGCCTTCCTTTTGGTGTTTCTTACTCTACAGTGACCTCTGCTGGGCTTTCTGCTTTGGCTTTTTCAATGTGCATTGTTTAAGAGGAGAGCCTTAAGCAACCTAATTAGGATAGCACCTGCTCTTACTTGGTGCCTGGTAAGACTTCACTGCCCAACTGACAGAAGTACCTGGGAGAAACGAGCCAGAGAAAGGCCTTATCCACATGGCAGGACCCCTCACGAGAGAGTACCCCAGCACCCACCTGGCATCCTAGGCATTAGGGATCTGCCCCTGTGAAGATCTTTGTAGGAGAATGTGCTGACATTGACAGATCCAGCTGTGCAGCTTCGGAGCTGAGCTTCACGTTTCCGAAGAGCTGACACAGAAAGAGGGGTTCTTGCCCTCTCTGCCCAGGCCTGTTCTTCACCCAGTTTACTCTGAGTTTAGAAAAGAACGTGGACTTGGCAGTACAACTACCTGTCGCTGTGCTTGCTTTGAGATTTGAGCTGTAGGCAGTGATGTGAGAGCACTGAGTCCACGCGCCAGCTTGCCAGCCTGTAAAGCACCTTCATGTTTGTGGGCGCCTTTGCTCATGACAGCTCATCTTGCTAATGAATATATATCAGTAATGAGAACAGTGCTTCCTTTTAGTGAGCTGTAAACTGAGGCTTTAGCAAATTGAAGTTTGTTTGTTTGTTTGTTTGTTTGTTTTGAGACAGGATCTCACTATGTAGCCCTGGTGGGCCTGGAACTCACTTTGTAGATGAGGCTCAAACTGAGATGTGGCCTCAAACTCAGAGTGGTAGGAGAGGCCGGAGTACAGAGCTTCTCGTAACAACCGCTTCCATTAAAGGCCTCCCCACCCCCGTGTCCATTCTTGCTCGTTTGACCTGCCTACACTTTCTCACCTTACACAGGCCCACGACCTGCATCTGTATGGCTCCGCAGCTGACAGCAGTCTTCGAGACAACACATGGGAAGTCCGGGCATACGTCCACTTCCAGGATCACGAGGGAGTGACTGTGCTCATCAGGCCAGAGCACAGAGTGGAAGATGTTCTGGCTTTGGCGTGCAAGGTGATAGGCTTCGCTGTGGAAACACACGCTCCTGAAAAGAGAGGCTCATTAATGCTGCACCCCTCTGCCTTCTGGTTTTATGGGGTTTTTAAGACCCAACTTTCTACACGAGGGAACATACTAACATTTTCTAGTTAACATATTAACCCTCCACCCTTCAGAAGAGTGGGAGCGAAGGTCATGAGCCCATCCTTCCATGAAGACCCTGACTTGTTCCACGTAAACTTTTAATCTGTATCTAGAATCCCTGTGACATGCGTTGCTGTTCACATTACTTAGAGATGAAGTAGCTTGTGCTGTTAGCATGGCACTCATCACCACACAGCTGCTTGTGGACACTGATGTGAGTTATGGTCGTTGTTTTATTCCGTAGGAGGTCTGTGGAATAAATGCGTTCAGCACAGCAGGTTTGATACTTCTAGACCACCAGGTGGCAGAGTAGAGCTGAAAGCTTTAAGTTCTGTGCAATCCTAAGTGGGGAGAAGCTTGGAGAGGCTGCTTGCTTTCATGCTGGACATGGAGAGCGTTTTAGTTCCCCTTTGTCCCTAGCCTTGAAGCTTTAGTGTCCTGTGCATTTGTGTATGCGTTTGTCTTTATAAATGTAATTGTCCCCCTTCCCACCTGCCCAATATGGAAAAGCCTCGATGTTCACCTGAACAGGCTATGAAAAACTGCTACTGGCAGGTTTTCTGAGTGTTAGAGGAAGGTGGAGGCAGGAGGTCAGCTGTTTGGAGCACAGGCCGGAGAGAAATGCTTTTCTGTTGAAAGTGTGGGGGAGAGAGAAAAGATGCGAGTGGGAGGAGGAGGAGGGAGTGTGCACGCATGTGTGTCACACGTGCAAACACACACACGTGCAAGCAGCATGCACGCAGGGGGGGTTGGAAGATATCTGAACTTCAGCATTTTCTATTTGAAAATACTTCGAAGTATGAAAGTCTGAAGTCTGTAGAACTTCATCACAAATCGCATTTTACAAATCTCTCCACTTTCGTAATAAGAAACAACCTACAAGTAAGTGGCCAGACGTGGAAGAGAGCTGATGTCTGACAGGAGAGGGGCTGTGTGATAAAACGTGTCTCCTTGGCTCCCGAGCACTGAGCCTTACCCTTTGCGGTTACAGCATTTAGAGGAAACCTTAGCAGTAAATTTTGACCCTTCTTTCTTTGTTTGCACGTTTAAATTTGAGCTTTTCCATACTTCTAGATGGGGTAAACTATATGAAGTTGTTTTTTTTTTTTCCCCTAAGATTTTGATAGTGGTGCATCATGAGCCTCCCGGGTGCTGGTGATTTTAGGACGGAGCAGGTAGGGCTGGAGTAACCAGGCATTTTCTTTGCAGATGAGACAGCTGGAGCCCGCTCACCATGGCCTTCAGCTTCGGAAGGTGGTCGATGAAAGCGTTGAGCAGCGTGTGCCTGCACCCTACGAATACATGCTAGAACAGGCAAGTGGGGGGCTCTGGGGGTTGAGAGGGACTGTCCAGCCATGTCCACGCCCCGTCTCACACAGCCCAGGCCGGCCTCGAACTCCTTGTGTAGCTGAGAATGATCTTGAGATTCTGATCCTCCTGCCTGCACATCCCGAGTGTTTGGAATATAAGCATGTGCCACCACGCCCAGCCTGTGCGATGCTGGCGGCGTGCTACACGGTCTCTTTGCCAGCGCAGCTCTTTCTCCAGGCCTCTGCACGGCCTCTTAATTTCGAAGACTGTAATTTGGGGGCAGACTGTTCAAATTTGGCATTTGGTTTGTAAACGGCCCTCATGTAAACAGTATCGTAATTTTCCTGAGAGAAAGTGTGTCACCATAATTTTGCAAGGTTGTGTAATGTTAATTCCCCAATTCTGCTACTTTCACCTTTCTCAGGTTTATGATGAAATTGAAGTCTTTCCACTCAGTGTGTGTGACGTGCAGCTAACCAAGACTGGGGACATGACTGACTTTGGTGAGTGTCCGAAGCCCTCCCCCGACCCCAGGAGTCCATTGCTCATCCTGCCCTTCGAGTCTTTCTCTTTTCCACGATCTGCTTGTTTATTTTAGCAGGATGGGCTGGTGTGTGTCAGTATTAGGAGGGTGGCAAGGCAACTATAGACATAATACGAAAGTGGTAAAGGAATGTGATACGTTGGTGACGGTGCTAACACTGTACATTCATGGTGCCTGGTGCTGCTCTGAGCTGGTTCACCCAGGAGCCAGACGAGGCTTCCTTGATCCATTGGTTGATTGAGATTTAAGTATTTGTGCATGTGCCACATATGTGCAGTGTCCAAGGAGGCCAGAAGAGGGATGGAGTTGTGAGCTGGCCAACTTGCATGCTAGGAACAGAGTGTGGGACCTCCAAAAGAAGAGCCAGTGTTCTTAACCACTGAGCCATTGCTCCAGGAGGCTTCTTTTTTTCATATCTGGAGTCCTACCGAACTTTCCAGGCTGCGGTCCTTTCCCAGTCCTTTCTCCCAGGATAGAAACCTTACCTGCCTGTCAAGAGCATATGGACAGTCTAACTGGGAGAAGCTGCTCTGTTTGCTTTGCCTCCCTCTGACCTGAGAATAACAATTAAGGGTCATTATCGCTGTTTAACTCTTACTTTCCTTGGTCTTTATTGAAACTCAGCAAAGTCTTTGCTCATGTCTTATAAGTGCCCGTCAGACTTTTGTAGCCTTTACCTTGGGAAGTCAGTAACTAGATAAAGATAATTAGATAAAGTCAGTAATTAGATATTCTCTGACTATCTCCAGAGAAAGGCTGTTTTCATTACATTAAAAATATTGTTACAACATAGTTGCTTTAAAATAACTCAAGTTGATAATATGCTAAAATTGTATTCTTTGGACCTTGTCCTTAATTACATGATCAGGTTTGTTGGTTTATTTTGAGACAGGGTCTCATCTGTAGTCCAGACTGGCTGGGATCCCAGGATATCCTCAAAGCTTTTAGGGATCCTCCTGCCTCGGCCTCCCAAATGCTAAGATTAGGTTGGAATTCCCTATTCCAATGTAGGTCAGTATTGGTATTGTTTGGAAACCCTCTCCACCTTTGTTTACTCTTCTTGGCATTTGCTCTGTCTCCATGGCCACCATGGGTGTGTCTTCTTCCCGTCTGAGTGAATGATTATACGCACGGATCCTTTTGCCATGGTTGGCAAGTCTTTGTGTAAGGCAATGAGAGGACACAGGATAGGAGGCCACTGTTTCCTATCCTCTAGGAGCTGCTAGCATTGAGGAACCTCCGTGTGAAAGTGTAGCATGTCAGTGTCTGAGGGAATGTGTCCCCGCAGGACATATACTGGGCTTTGCATCTCATACCTATATAAAACACTGGACCCATTCAGACAGTCCCCCCTCGTGTGTGTGTGTGTAAGTTTCTATGTGTGAATTCAGGCGTGTACATGGTACGACATACATGTTGAGGACAATGACCTTGTGTGTGTCCTTGAGTTTTGTTTTTTTTTTTTTTTTCTTGAGACAGGATGTTTTCATTGATTTTTCCACTTCATGGGCCAAGCTAGCTGACCTGCAAGCTTCTAGGCCTCAGTCACTCTTGAGCTCCTGTAGGATTGCTGGTATACTGGTGTTTGTGCTCTGCATCTTTTTACATGGGTTCTGGGGATTCGAACTCCGACCTTTATGCTTGCACAGCACACACTGTGTCTCCAAGCCATTGCCCGAGCCCAGGCTTTAACCATCTTAAAATGCCTCGCTCAGCTTCAGCATAAGTATCTTTTGGTCTTAACTGTAAAACAACCAAACAAACCCTCCATTTTTTAACTGTGACGATACGGCAGTAAGGCAGGGTAGATATTCTGCACCTTTAATCCGTGTCAGCAAAGGACATTTGTGTCTGTGAGTCATCCTCACCACCACTTTCCAGATCTCTTCCATCTGGCAAAACTGGAGCTTTGTATCCATAGGATGCTGGCTTTCCCCTCCCCTTCCCCAGCTCTTGACAAGCGCACATTATACCCTTTGTCCTTCCCCCTTGGAACCCTTCAGTATCTGCCTTTCCGTGCCTAGCTCATTTCACTTAGCGTTAATGTCTTCTGGGCTCATCCCATTATAGGATGTGCCAGGATTCTCTCTTTTAAAGGCTCAGTCATGCTCTGCTGTCTGTGCACACCACCTTCTGTTTGTCCTCAGTCTCCTCGTTTGTCAGCTGGCCCATTCCCAGTGGCTGGCTGCTGTGAGTGTGCTACTGTGTGTTCTCAGTTGCAACTGTTGAGAAAGGTTACACACTCTCGTGCCTAACCCCTCCAGTCTGGTGGGTTCCTCTTTTCCCTGCTCTTGCTAAAGATAGTGCTTTCAACACAGTTGTTACCTTACTTTCTCAGCATGCTGCACTTACAAGAATGGACATTCACGGATGGGGCTGACTGGGCCGGGGAGACAAAGGGAGGTGAATTCACACTTGCTTTTTGTTTTCTCCCGCAGGGTTTGCAGTCACAGCTCAGGTGGACGAGCATCAGCATCTCAGCCGGATATTTATAAGCGATGTTCTCCCCGACAGCCTGGCGTACGGAGGAGGTCTGTGTGCTGCATGAGCACTCTTTGAGTTTCTAACTGTGGGGTGTGGGCTTGAGCTCCATAATGCTGCATTTTCCATCTTGTCAGTGGTCAGCGTTGGCAGACTGCTTTCATCTTAAAATGCATCCCTCTAATCTCTTCCCCCTTTCTTCCTATTTTCTTCTTCCTGGTTCTCAGGGCTGAGAAAGGGCAATGAAATCACCAGCTTAAATGGGGAAGCCGTGTCTGACCTTGACATCAAGCAGATGGAGGCCCTGTTTTCTGAGAAGAGCGTGGGTCTCACTCTAGTGGCCCGGCCTTCAGACACAAGAACAACCCTGTCTGCTTCCTGGTCAGACAGTGACCTGTTCTCCAGGGACCGGAAAGCTCTGCCACCCTCCCCCAACCAGTCCCAACTGCTGGAGGAATTCCTGGATAACTTTAAAAAAACCTCCACAAATGGTAAGGCTGCATTCTTTGACTGTCTTTTAACTGCTGGTGCCATTGGCCTGCGTTCTTAGGCTGCAGCTTAGATTACAAGGCCAGATTGTATAAACTACTACTCAGAGAATGTTTCCTCATTTGCTAGGACAAGATGCCTACCGGGATAGATTTCTCAAGAGTCCATACAATTTAGCAATTAGGGAACCTTCAGGAAAACTAAAAACCATGGTAGAGTTTGTTTGTTTGTGTGTTTTTCTGCCAGGAGGACTGGTCTCTTAAGAAACAGCAAGCTTTGCATGTAATTCATGGATTGATTTCAGAACATTTTGAAGGCCTATAAATGGAGAGCGCCAGTATTTTTCTTTTCAAGTGAAATATCCACATGAGGGCTCACATTCTGATGGGTTCTCTGAGCTTACTATTTCTACCTCTCCTGACTGTTACATTTGAATCAGAGCCCTAGCCGAGTACCTGTCACTTCCCTCTGTTGGAGGGAGAGTCCAGGTTAGGCTTCCTAGAGCATTGAGTGGATCTTGAACCTGGCAACACATGAATTATTTTTCTTTCCACACTGTCCTGCATTGCTAATAGGTTTTCAATAGAAATCTCTTGTGTGCTGGGCAGAAATGAATGTGAAACTCAAAAGAGAGGTCATTAGGATGGATTTAATGATGAAGCCGACTTACCAGGTTGTCTGTAATCAAGCATCAGATGGTAAGATTTGTGATTCACTCAGGTATCTGGTGCTTTCTCTTCCTCTCTTGGGAATTTCTTCCCACTTAAAACATCATGAGGTTGACTGTTGGCATAGAAAAATGGGCGTCATGAAACAGAAATTATGATGGAGCTAACCAATGGTTGGTGATAGTGGGACCACTATTCAGATTCTGCCAGGCTGCTATTCTAAGCCTGAGTGGCTCATGTTGTGTGCTCATTGTTGGAGTGCTTGTTTGTTAGTGGCATTCCCTACCTGTTATTCCTCTGCATTTTTTCACAAGAAGAAAGCACTTCAGCCTGTAATATCTTTTTCTATTCTGGGAATGAACGAGCAAAAGATTCAGACTTAATTTTTTTAAAAAGAAGAATCAAGCAGGTAAGTTAAATGGTTAAGCTTGTCCACTCCCTTTTCCAGTCCTAGGTTCATGCTGTGTTCCAGAAGGTATTCTGTGTGTGTTGTGTGTGTGTGTGTGCATGCACAGGGAACTCGATGAAGTGAGTTGTCTGCAGCCATTTTGTTACCAGTGTCCACCCGCCTGGGGGAGCAGACAGCTGTTGGCACCTTTGCTGCACGGGCCTTCCTCTTCAGCTAAGCTAGAGTGTGCTGAGATTTAGCACTTTTCTCAGGCAGAACACGGGCTCTCTGGCCCCACAGTTTAGCGTTTATCCCACTTCTGTGTGGTGACTGTTCTGTGGTCGTGAGCCTGTGTGCCATGATAAACCGCTTTTCCGTACACTTCGAAAAGTGGATTTTTTTTTTCCTTTTTCCTTTTTGAGGTATTGTGTTTGAAAAAACACTGAGTACTTAAGAACTTTGAAGGTTAAGGGTAGAAATAAAATCTGGGGTGCATGGGTAAGAAGTTTAAAAGCAAAGGCAGACCAAGTCTCTCGTTTGAATAATGACGTCCTGCTCACAAGAGGAGCTTGTGCTATGGGTGCTAAGAATGGAGTGTGGGGATAGTCAGACAGGTTCTGAGTCAGGCCTGGGTTTGAGGACTGGGTTCCCTCAGGGGTAGTGTGTAGGCATTGAGGTTGCAGAGACAATTGTGAGATGCAGTCACAGCTCTTCAAGTGGCCCCTGGAGTCAAATCACAAATGTACAGAGTCATTTCCCACAGCACTCATGTGTCTTCTGCTGCTTTTCCTGCTCTGTGGTCACATTCCCAACAACCTGTGGTGCCTGGTTCTCTGCTCAAGCTGTGCCTTTGCAAGAGTCCCCACAGTGTCCCTGGCTCTTGGTAGGCAACCCAGTTCTGTTCCCTGCTGGTCCCAGCTTCGTCTTTAGTCAAGTCTCTGTTTAAAAGGCAGATACAATGTCTTACACCACCTGGAACCTAAGCCTGCAGAAGGCCGAGGCAAGAGAACTGAATTCCAGGCCAGAGTGGGGTCATAGTGTAACACCGTCTCAAAATTAATAACCAAACTTACCTTGATTCACTTTACTGTGAAATAGAAGTCACTCTGTCCTCCTATTATAAAATCAAGACTTATACAAACATTTAAATAGCTTTGGAGGAGGTATTTTAATACAACCTTGGGCTGCCTTTAAGACTGGTCACTTTAGTGTGTATTCATGCATGTTCTACCTATGAACATTGCTAGAAGGCACAGTGTGCTTGGAAAGGAGGAAGGAGCTAAGAAAAGCCCCGAGTCCATTTCACAAAGCCTGGGTCTCCACCTAGTGATGTTTCTGAAAGATAAGACCTGCATTGTAAAGAGGGACAACTGGACAGATCCCACGGGAGGCAGGAAGAAAGCCGCTTGTAGTTGTTGGGGCATATTTGACCGTCTCAGGGAATGGATCTAGATCCCTTCCTGCCATGTGTTGGAAGGCGAGGCCCTGGCTGCATCTGGCTCTAGTCCACTTCTGGTTTTAGTCACACAGCTACACAGATTATGATGGTGATTATGACATTTGGTGAAACGAGTCTCAGATTCACCTCCTGGGCTTACAGAAGACAGACCGTGCTGGGTTTCGGGTGTGTGAGTATCTCCTGCAGACAGTCGGGTGCAGGCCTGTGGCTGAGCCATTTGCGCTCGGTCCACAGGAGAAGGGCTTCCTATGAGTAGAAGGACCGGTCCTTCTCCAGCTCTCCTGAGCTGAAATTCTGAGGATCCAGTGAGATGATGTGTCACACACGCTCTTGTCAAAAACTGCCGACATCTTGGTCAGTGTCTGTCCTTCAGTTAGGGATTGGGCCCCGGCCCGACCCACCACCACCATCCTTTGAAATGCCAGCTGATAATGGTTAGCACGCATTACTGAGGCATTGTCCCTTTGCTCCTGCTTAAGGACACACATGGGAGGCCGAGAAGGACTCAGAGCTGTCACCCCACTCTCCTGACTCTGGTCCCACAGCAGAAGCCACAGGGCCACAGTGTTAGAGTGACTTTGCCTCCTAAGAAATGAATGGCTGTTCCGTCAAGTTACCCATACCAGGGACAGGAAATGTCCATGGGCTAAATTTGACTGGAGCGGAAATACTAGTAAAGACTTTTTAACAGGCAGAATTAATTTTAATCACTGGAATTTCCCAAAGAGGACAGTGTTATTTTTGACCCAACAAGGCCACCATTGAAGGAGTTGGGTATACCCAAGCTGTTTGTGCTTGGATCCTGTTATTGTAACTTTTGTGATTTGTGCATGGAATTTCCCTTCATTTGCTGGCTTTTGAGCAATCTCAGCAGCTTTTTGGAAAGCCTCCCCAGGGTGTAAGTTTGTGAATGAAGTTTTTATGTAAACACTAGACTCCCCTAGACTCCCCGTGGCATGACTGTTCTCTCCATACCAACAGCTGTTACTACAGCCTTGTGAGGGCCAGAGGTGCATTTAGCAGGATGGAAACAGAGATCAGTGTCCCTGCTTCTTGGGCTGACACCTAGCCAGGGCTTTGCAGTCACAGAAGGTGACTATGGCCAGAGGTGTTGGTGCAGCCCCTGACCCCCTTCTGAATTACTCCTTTTGAGTTGGTGGCCGAGTGGTGGAGAATCTCATCAGAAATCCCTCAGATGTACATTTCCTTTTGTTTGTTTGTTTTTGTGACACGGTCTCACTATGTAGCTCTGGCTATCCTGGAGCTCACTATGTAGACCAGGTTGGCCTTAAACTCTGCCTCCCAAGTACAGGGATTAAAAGCCCGCACCGCTGTGCCCAGCTTGTAAATTTGTTCTTAAGGGTGGCTTCCTCTTGGGAATGTATTTGTCTATCATATTGGAGCCAGCTCTACTGGGCCATACCCACTGAATTCCTGTTTATGGGTTGGGGGCGCAGTTTGGCTTCCATGGGATGCCTAGAGTGACTAACAGCATTGAGTTCTGGGAACAATGTTTCTATGTAAAGTTGCTGTTACTGATTATCTGATCGACATTCCAAGTTGTAAGATTTTTAAAACATATCAGTGTTCCCACAGAACAGAGGGTGTATTTGTTTAATAAGAATAAAAAATTCCAATTGGAAAATAGTAACTTGTCCTGGAGTTGGAACCTTGGCTTCAAAATGCCAGGGTCCTTATAGCTGTACTGAAGGTAGCTTTTCACACAGTAAGGGATGTAAGCATGAGTTACTTTTTAGCCAAGGTCAAGCATGAAAGAGAGGGTGTGAAATCCTGCTAGCAGTGGTGGGAGTTGAGGTCCCTGGAAAGAAATTCCCTTTTAAAGTTGAGTTTTGTTTGGGAGTTTGCTTTCCATTTCTTTCACTGTCTCATTTCGTCTCTTGTTTGACTTTTGCTACACTTTTCAGGCTCGAAGATATGAATTAGCCAGTGTTGGGTTGGATATGCTTAAGAAACTTTAGATGAGTAGAAAAATAAGATATTTCAATGTAGAAAAGCTTTTGCAATGTGGAGAATTAGAGTGCAGTTCGCTCTGTGAGTGCTGAAGAATCCAGGGTTGGGGAAGTGGAGGCCAGGAGTTGGGTTTGAGTGGCGTAGATGTGTGGTTATGGGTCTGGAAGTGGTGGGCAGGGGTGGGGGGAGGTAAAGGGTGGCGTTTCCTTTGGAGCTGGCAATCTGCTATATACAGACAGGGGTCATGAAAAGGAGTTGGCAGTTCTGCCAGGGGCAGGCTGCAAAGCCTCGGGTTCTAGGATCGTGGGAAACAGCAGCAGCTGAGCACAGCCTGACCTTTCCTCTCAGAGAACTCAAGGCACTTGCTTGATGACCTCCTGACCTCCGGAACATACTTGCCACAATGTCCAGCACTGAGCTTCACTGCCACTGCTCTTCTAGGATTCTTATTTTTCCTGATCACAAGCCTTCTTGTGGAACCTTCTGGGTATGAGATGGCAGTTGCCGTGCTGCAGT